CTCCATCATTTAAATCTTTGCTGAAGAACAGAATGACATAGCCTGGCTGGCTGGTACTACAGAAAACTCTCAAGGTCATCAAAAACAAGAAGCATCTGAGAAACTGTCACAGCCAAGAGCATAAGTGGTTATGACTATTAAATGTCATGTGGTATCTTGGACGGGATCCTGGGCAGAAAAAACCATTAGGAGTTGAAAACTAATGTCCATACCAAAACCTGTACAGGATCGTTTATAGCAACTTTATTCATAATTGCCAAAACTTGGATGCAACTGAGATGTCCTTCAGGGGGTGAACGGATAAATAAATGGTGTTACATCAAGACAGTGAAATATTATTCAGTGCTAAAAAGGAATGAGCTATCAAACCATGAAAAGACATGGAAGAACCTTAAAATTATAAGCTGAGTGAAAGAAGCCAATCTGAAAAGGCTAAATTCCATATGATTCCAACCATATGACATGCTGGAAAAAGCAAAACTGTGAAAACAGGAAAAAGATCAGTGATTACCAAGGGTTAGGGAAGAGGGAGGGATGAAGAGTGGAGCACAGAAAATTTTTAGGACAGGGAAAATACTCGGTATGATACTATAATGATGGATATACGCCATTATACATTCGTGAAGGCCCACAGATTGTAAAATGCCAAGATTGAACTATTAGAAAAACTATGGACTTTGGGTGATTATGATGTGTCAAGGAAGGCTCATCAACTGTAATAACATATTGACAGTATGGGCAGCTATATCATTGAGCAACAGGGTATATAAGGTCTGACAATTAAGTTCACAAACTCATCCTAGAAGAAGTGCTACATACCTCATTGCTGAATATCACCATGGTCACCTTCGAAGTACTCCCCTTGGGAAGCTATGCACCAACACCAGTGCCTAGTCCATCCTTCAAAGCAATTTTGGAACTTTTTCTGGAATGACCATCAGAGCTATTGTTGTATTACCCTTGATGTCCTGAATGTCATCAAAATGTCTTTCTTTCAATATTTCATTTGTCTTCAGGGTAAAGAAATAAGTCATTGGGGGCCAGATCAATGAATAGGGAGGGTGTTCCAATACAGTTATTTGTTTACTGGCTAAAAACTCCGTCACAGTGCTGTGTGAGCTGGTGCATTGTCGTGATGCAAGAGCCATGAATTGTTGGCAAAAAGTTCAGGTCATCTAACTTTTTCACACAGCCTTTTCAGCACTTCCAAACAGTAAACTTGGTGAACTGTTTGTCCAGTTGGTACAAATTCATAATGAATAATCCCTCTGATATTAAAAAAGGTTAGCAACATTGTTGCAACAAGTTGACAAACTGAATTGTCAGACCTCGTATATGGGAATTATCTGTATTTTCCACGTAATTTTTCTGGGAACCAAAAACTACACTTAAAAGTAAAGTCTATTAATGATTTTTTAAAAGGACGTTAGGTAAGGGCCGGCCTAGTGGCTCAGTTGGTTAAGAGTTTGCTTTAGAGCATGAGCTGTGAAAAACAGGGTCTCTGGTTCGATTCCCACATGGGCCAGTGAGCTTCGTCCGAGCTTCGCCTGAGCTTCGCCTGAGCTGCGCCTGAGTTGCGCCCGAGTTGCGCCCGAGCTGCACCTGAGCTGAGCTGTGCTTGAGCTGAGCTGCTGCTGAGCTGCCAACAGGAGCCAGGATGGCTCAGCTGGTGAAAGCACGTGCTCCTAATGACAAGATTGCCTGTTTAATCGATAGTGGGCTACACCCTTCGCGGCTGGGACTGAACTCGGCACCTTGAGCTGAGCTGCCGCCCCATGGCTCAGTGGATAGAGTGTGCGCTCTTAACAGCAACGTTGCCGGTTCGACACCCGCATGCAAAAAAAAAAAAAAAAAGGATATTAGGTAAAAAGTAAGATGGTCTAAACAAAGTAGGGACTTTAGCAATACTATATCAACATTGGTGCAATAGTTTTATAAATGTGGCATCATAATGTAAGAGGTTAATGGTAGCAGATTCTGGATGAGATGTGGGCAGGGGAACAATCTTTGCAACTATTTTGTAAAGCTAATACTATTTAATATTTAAATATATATATAAAAGAACGAGAGGGTGAGAAAGGAGAGAGGGAGAAAGAATTTACAATTTATCAAAGAATGGGTACCTCACCTTGTTTTTAATAAAAATATTAGATGTGGCCTTCATTTAATTCCCCTCTAATTGTGTGTCAGGCACGTGTTTGCGTCACCTAAGCCTCAGCTCCACATCTGTACCAGGATGAACTTTCCTCCAGGGGTTGTTGTGGAAAAAGTGACGAGCCTTTCCATAGTCAGTTGCAGGAGTCAGTGATGCTCTCAGTCCTGGGAGCACGGGGAGGTGGGAGGAACCTATTGCGAACAGCAGTGCTAAGACTCCAAAAGCTCTCCCGTTTCCCCAGCACCCTATAGTAAACGTATGGCGTTTTCTCAGAACATCAAGATATGAAATCATGTGGGGTAAACAACCTTAGCACAACGCTGCTACACGGTAAGCACTCCCTGGGGTTGACAGTCTGTTACTCTCCATGAACCTCCATGAAAGGGAGGAGGGCAAGGATCAGGGGACCAATGGCACCAACAGAGAGACCACATTGGAGCTGGATCTTGAAGGATGGAGCCTGTGTGTGCCTGGCAAAGGAGGGCTGGAAGGGCATTCCAAGGAAGGGGAACAGCAGGAGCAAAGGCAGGATGTGGGCAGGTGCACCAAGGATTCCGGAAATGGCAGGTGAGTGGCTTAGTGTGGCCAGATTGGAGCGTGTGTGTGTGTGTGTGTGTGTGTGTGTGTG